TTATGCTAACAAGTTTTAGTTGCATCACATGATAAATCGTTGAAATTCTATTGGATAACGTCGCAGGTACTATGAAACAATAGTGCCGCCTGAGCGGCACTATTGCTTGCGCGACGCATTGTTATTATAACGCATTGTGTTTTAATACAAATTGAAATTGTTCGTTTAAGAAACTTTGTCTTATTCACTTCATATTTGCCGAGTAGAATTATATATATATGTCATTTATACCCTTTATCCTTTATTTAACGCGACTATTAGCCTTCTCCTGAATGATAGGTTGTACGCCTTCACTTATAATCTTTATAGCTCTATGTGATTACGGCGTATTATAAGGACGACTGTACAGACGCTGACTATTAGTGTGATATTTCATCCTCAAGCAACCGCAGTGACATGCGAGGCTATAGTATAACAGGCGCAATCACACGATTACGTTCAAGTTGATCAGTGTCCATGACATGGGAGAGCGCGTTTCCTCTCCCCGGCAACCGGAGAATAGATGAAACGAAGAAAATAAAGATTAAAGGCAAACCATTAAAACATCTCTTCTATGTTCACCGCCGTCCGTGACTTATAAATTCTATTTTTGTCACGATGCATTTCATATTTCGCAACCATTCAGCGTGCGCCTAATGCAACAGTTGGTTTTCCGACAAAAAGTCACTACGATTGTTGCAAACCGCTTAAAAATTAATACGCTTTCGATTTCTTAAATTATTAATTATCATTCCCGACGCCGAACATCATCTTCGACTTACATCGCTCACTTACCCGTCGAGTACCGTACGGCGGTGTATTGTCGCAGTCACTGTCAAATGTCTTTTGCTGCTGCGACGTGACACGCTGTGATACTTGCGGTCCTTCGTCGTACACTGACTCTCATTGCCACAAGCAGCAGCTATCCCCCTTCACAACGCTGCATCGACCCCGCACGCACACATCATCACCGCGTTAGTTGTCTTTGCTAGCGTCACTCGCTGCTAGCTTTCCGTCTCGTCTGCACGTCTGTTGCTGCTGTCAAGAGAGCATCTTCGATACGGGGAATCGACGTGTAGCGCTTATGCTTCGATGACGGTTGAGACGAGCTTGCCGCGCTGTTACGAGCGTCACACTCCGTCACCGTCAGTGACGCGGCGGTACACTCCGTCACCGTCAGTGACGCAGCGGTACACTCCGTCACCGTCAGTGACGCGGCGTCAAAAACTGACGGAGAACACTCCGTCACCGTCAGTGACGCGGCGTCAAGAACGGACGGAGAACACTGCGTAACCGTCAGTGAAGCGGCGTCAAGAACTGACGGAGAACAGTGTGTCACCGTCAGTCACACGGCGTCAAGAACTGACGGAGAACACTGTGTCACCGTCAGTCACACGGCGTCAAGAACTGACGGAGAACACTGTGTCACCGTCAGTCACACGGCGTCACCGCCCGCGCTATCCGCACCACGCCCGCCTGCCCGCACGCCTCGCCGACACAGTGTACGCACGTGCTTAGCTCGCTGCGAGTGTGCGCGATACGCATCTCACAAGACGGCCACGCCACGCTAAGCCGGAAAACCTCTCTGCTCGCGCTCTGTTGCGGATCCCGTCCCGTAAGCAAGGACGTATAGGCATTAACACCGCTGCGGCACACACCGTGTTCTCCGTCAGTTCTTGAATGGCCGC